AAAAAAGGAAAGTTTAGGTTTAAAAAATATTCTAAGAACTCACTGGCTATTATGTGGTAAACTGACAGTATCATCTATACGATAATAATCTGAGGGTGATCGTTTCAAACAAAGGCCCTGGGTCCCTATGAGTCCAAGTAGATTATAATTAGGAGTCTGGACCTAATATGAACATTTCAAAAAGAAAGTTAATTCTTATTAAGAATTGTGCTTTTCTATAAGTAAATAGACTAATTGGTCTTTCCTCCTTTCCTATGGCTGACATTATAATTACTCAGTTGTCCTTGTGTGATATATATTGGTCCTCTAACTCTATGACATTCAGTGTGTGTTTTTTTTTTTTAAAGATTCCTTCACATACAAGGCCGAGTTCAATCCCCAGTACTAAAAAAAAAAGGATACCTTTAGATCCAGCTCAGCCGCACAAATGCCTACCTGGCAAGTACAAGGTCCTGAGTTCAATTCCCAGCACCAAAGGAAAAAAAAAGATACCTTTGGGTATTTTCTTGAAAACAATTTCAGGCCCCAGGGTGGTCTACTGGGAAATATCTCATTTAAGCCCTCTGAGACAGAGAACACAGTGCCAGTGGTTCTCTCGAGCCACAGGTCAGAACTGGAATCGGCTTCTGACGGTGGAGGCAGCTCTACCTACCAAGGCCCACCAGCCACAGCTTCAGAAGCATTCCTACAGTCATTTTTAAAATTAATAACTTGAGGTGGGGGTGGACATGAGCAAAATATACACAATGGAACAGGAGACTGTAAAAACCAAGAAGGATGGGGCAATGATAGAAGGGTGAAAATGATCAAAGCATGTGCTGGGTATGCACAAACCTGCTAAAATGAGCCCATTAATCTGTATAACCAATAAAAAAGGAGGAAAAATTAAAAACGCACTGAAGGACAAGTAACAATGCTATGCTAAGAAAAGACAGATGACAAAACTCAGGAAAAAAAAGCAGAGGTTTAAAAAAACTTGACAGTGGTATTTTTACTTAGGTTGTACAAGTCCTGTGTTTACACAATAACATCCTTATATTCAGCAAGGGCTGAGGGCATAGAGCAGAAGCAGAGCATTTCTCTAGCACAACCAGGCCTGCAATTAGATCCCCAGCACCACAAAAAAAGACAGAAGAGAAAAGACCAGTTACAGTGGTGTATGCCTGTAATCTCAGCACTCTGGAAGGCTGAGGCAGGAGGATCACAAGTTCGAGCTCAGTCTAAGCAATTTTGCAAGACCCTGTCTCAAAATACAAATTTTACAAAAGATTGGAGATGTAACTTGATGCAAAGCCCCTAGTTTCAATCTTCAATAACACACACATACGCATAGCCAGAATGGTGGCACACACCTGTAATCCTAGTACTCTGTGAGGTGGAGGCAGGAGGATCGCTGTGAGTTCAAGGCTAGCCTGGGCTACATAGTGAGTTCAAGGCCAGCCTGAACTACATAGTGACACCCTAACTGAAAAAGACAAAAAAAAATCTCAGTCATAACCTACTGTGGGCCAGTGCTATCAATCAAGCCACCCCAGGCACTGCACATCCAGTCAAGTGCTCCCGACTTGGCCACACCCCAAGCCCTGCAAAGCTAATCGGGATACTAGCACCAGTGGTTAGATCAAGAGCAGCTCTTACCCCACCAGTGCTCTGTACACCTGGCTGCTGTTTCAAAAGACAGCTTTTAGCATAATCTTGAGTACCACACTCAGCCTGAAATAAGAACTCTACTGAAATGCTTGACTCAGAGTAAGCTCATCTTTTTTTGGAGTTTGAGTAGGGTAACTATGGGGCACTAAGCAGGAGTCTGTTGCAAAACTGATCTGAGAAGGCCCTTAATCTCCGTCTCCATTTCATCACCTTAAGCAACGTCTAAGGTTCCCTCCAGAAATACTATGGCATGATACTCTGCCTCCATTAGATTTTATATATGCACTTAGAGGATGATCTCTACTGCTTCTAAGCTCTTTTGGAAACCGCACCCAACACAACCAAAGCTAAAAATAGCTAAGATACCAAGGAAGAGGTCTAAACAAAGGTCTGTGGCAGAGATCTCATCTGTCAGACATCAACAGCTGTCGAGACTGAATCTAGGCTACCATGAGAACACATAAAGAACATTCTGGGGGCTAGAGATATGGCACTTGCTCAGCACCTGGTACACCCTGGGCCCCACTCCCAGAACACTCACACACACACACACACACACACACACACACACACGAATATATGTATGTTCTAGACTCTTGTAACATATTCAGTCACATTTGTCTGTCGTCAGTGCTGGGGATCAAATCTACGACCTCCCACATGCTAGGCAAGTACTGTACCACTGAGCTGCATACCCATCCCCCATGTCCTCATTTACTTACTAAACACTGTATGGGAATGGGGAAAGAAACAACACTCTACAGCGAGCACCGTAGTGCATGCTTATACCCAACTCTGGAGGCTGAGGCAGAAAAGTCTGGCCCTGCCTGAGCAACATAGCATGTTAGCAAGACACTGTCTCAAAATGAAAATTTAAAAAGGGCTGGAGACACAGTTTAGTGCAAACACCCTGGGTTCAACCCCCAGTACTGGAAAAGGGAGGGGGGCATATTTATGAAGCCTTTTCCACAGTTGTTAAAGCCACGTGTTAATGGGAAGAGTATCTTTAAAAAACTATCAGAAGCCTTGATAACTTTTATCATAAGGTCTTGGTCTATTTAATTACTACTTGATGGTATCTATTCTTAACGATTCCAATTTCTCACCACTTATAGGATTCCAGAAATATATATGTTAAGAAAAAGTCTAATGGGGCATCGTGGCTCATGCCTGTATTCCCAGGAGCAGGGGAAACTGAGGCAAGAGAATTACTGCGAGTTTGAGGCCAGCCTGAACTACATAGTGAGAACCTGTCTCAAAAAAAAAAATTTTTTTTTAAATCTGTACAGCAACTTGTAAAATTATGTCTCTGTTTTTTGTTCTTGCCTGGTTTTTTGAGACAGGGCTTCACTATGTACCTAGGCTGGCCTCAAATGCAGGATCCTCCCAGCTCAGCCTCCCCAGTGCTGGGACTGCAGGCTTCCACCACGACACCCAGGTAAAATAGGATAACAACTTCCTAATAAATGGTCGGGTAAAAAGAGAACAGTTCCAGAAAGGCACAATAAAATTTCACGGTCACTAACTTTCAACTTAATGTGGCAAAACAGAAGCAACCTTCTGAGTAACTTGCCTGATCAGCACCGTCTGTGGTCTGAGTGTGTCCCCTCAGGCCCATGTGGTGGAAGCCTGGGCATCAGTGTGACAATGTGTGGGGTGGTAAAATCCATGAGGTGTGGTCACTGAGGTCCTGAGGGCACTGGAGACGCTGCCTTGGGGAGGACTGAGACGGTTCCGAACCTCAGGCCTGGATTGGTTGGGTCCGTTATGGTGGGAGTAACTGTATCAACTACTACATTGCTCTGGCTTACTGTCTCGGCATGTGCTCTTGTGCAAGTGCTCCCACCCTTTTGATGCCAACTGCTATGTGGTCCTGACCAAAGGCCTAACAGGTAAGGCTACTCTTACTAGGCCCTTCACCCTCCAAAACTCACATACAGGAGCTGCACTGATTTCTGATATACCCAGTCTCGGGTGTTTTGTCATAGCAACAGAAAACAGATAAACACATCACCACATGGAGGTGTATGGAAAGTGAAGAAGAAGGCTAGGTGAGAACATGACACCATATCCCTGTTTTCCTCCTCACCATGGTCCACACTCCTTAACCTCCTGGGGTGTTTCCCCCCATCCTCCACCTACACACACTGCAGTGCCCTCACCCCAGCACTCGATCCTTCCTCTCTGCACTCACTTTCTAAGTGATTTCATCCAATTTCATGGCTTTAAACTTACGTCACAGTCTAGACCTCTCCCTTGGAAGATGTCTTCTCTGACATCTCCATTTGAAAGTCCAATAGGCACATCACAGTAACACATCCAAAACCCAATTAATCTGCCTGCATCTCCATTGGTAGAGAAGCTCATAACTGTTCAGCCAACACTCTTGAAGCCATCTTTGATCACGTTCTGAGTATGACTAAATAGTATTAATACAATGATACACATACATACGATTCATCAGCAGGCGTTGTTGGCTCTCCCTTCAATGTGCACTCTCTAGAATCTGACTCTTTCCTGCCACTTCAAACCCCAACAACTCTCACCTCAAACAGTGAAGCAATTGCCCACCCTGAGCCCTGACTCTGCCACTCAACATGGTAGCCCCAGGGATCGTTCCAGAGGACACATCAGATCTCATCAGCATTCTGTGGAAAGCCCTCTAGGAGCTTCCCACCTCCAAAGAAAAGGCTAAAAACTGTCTATGAGGCCCCAGACTGCTGGTGGTGAATCTATGGCAAGTACAACACAGTGGGCTGTTTGTATCACTTAAAGATCTAAAAGGTTGGCCATCACTGCCCTAGGCAATCCATGTGGCTTGCTTCCTTACCTCCTTCAGGGCTCTGTTCAAATGCACCTCCTCTGGGAGGCCTTTCCTAACCATCACATATAAAATCTCAGGCTGGGAGGGATGGCCCTCAGTGGAGAGCACAAGCCTGGCATTGAGGAGGTCCTGGGGTTAATCCCCAGCATACTTACTTCACCTCCTGCCGCCCTGCTGCTGCTGCTTGGGTCCCACTTCCCTGAAGCTTTATTTCTCTTCACAGCACTAACACCTGGCAAACTATCTTTTCATATTTCTTTACACTAGAGTATACACCACCTGAGGGTTGGGATTTTTGAATGCTTTGCTCCCAGCTGTTCCTGATGCCTAGAACACAAACTACACACAGGCTTTCAAGCCTGTTTGTGAAGCTGGATGTGGTGATGAACACTCTAGAAGACTGAAGCAAAAGGATCTTTAAGAGCTCAAGGCCAGCCTGGGATACACAGTGAGTTTCAGACTGGCCTGGAACACACCGACACCCAAAACCTTTTTATTAAATAAATAAATGATACTGAAATCTTACCAGATAAATACATTATTTCCTGAATACACCAAACACTATGAAGAGCAGATTCCACACAATCATATCTGCACACAGTACTGTAACAAGAGAAACGATGGTTTGTCTTTAAAAGTGCATTAAAATCTTCCTGTTTTCTTTTTGTCAGTTCTAGAAACTCTGTACTTGTTTCTTCCTCAGATAATGCTTTTCCTCCATTCTGTTTTCATTTTAAAATAGGAAAGTTCAAAAGTGCATTAAAATTTAACGTTTTATTGTTCACTTTTGTTAAAGCCCTTTGTACTGTGCCTAGAGGTCACCCGGGTATGGTGGCACACACCTGTAGTTCCAGAACTCTGGGAGGCTGAAGCAGGAAGATTACAAATTCAGGGTGAGCCCGGGGAACTTAGTGACAGTGAGACCCTTTCTCAAAATTAAAAATTAAAAAAGGCCTGAAAGCCTGTGGTTCTATGTCCAGTTCTGCAAATAAAATAAAATAGCCCCAGGTCACACTTACAAGATGGATTAACATTCACAGGAAAACAGAAATAAGAAAGGCCTTTTTTCTGTCACTAGTCAACACCCACGGAAGTCCTCCAAGTGACCCTGGTGCCACAAACGTTGAGGATGTTTAGGAAGAAGGGATCCTAGAAAAATAAGAGAATTCTCTCACCAGTCCCCACAGCAGAATCGCTCCAAATCCTGCAGACCTTTTTTTCCAATTCAAATCCCCTAACAAAGCCATTCTTAACAGGTACAGGAAGTCTCAGCTGAAGAAACAGTATGATTACATAATTATACACACAGGAAAAGCCTAGTATTCCATTATCCACCTTTTCCAAACATTTTTAAACTAAAACTAGACTTAAAGAGTTTTTGTGGAAAAATGTTTAGCTCTGAGGCTGACTTAATTAAAAAAAAAAAAAAAAAAAACTTCGATAAGATGCGGGATGGCAGGCACAGAGTTTTAAGGCTGAACAGTACTGTTTACTATTGTTTATTATTTCCGAGTCCTCCTCCCAAAAGGAAAAACGTCCACACTGGCGCAATCAATAGGAACGGTATGTCCAAAGAAAGCTGTTCTGAAAGCCTATGACCTAAGTGTTTAGCACTGACACAGATAAAGTTCAGGCGATAGATGTCACTTGTCTCACCATTTAACAAAAAGGAAAAAAAAATCAAGACTCCGCTCCCACGGAGGGAGGCGAGGAGAAAGAACGGCGAGAGCCACGGCACAGCCCGCGGGCGCCGCGCTCCAGCTCGCCCCGCACTGCGCCACCGGGGAGCCTCGCGGGGACCGGGCC